TGCTGTGGGGCCAAAGGGAGGTGGTGCTGTGGGGCCAAAGGGAGGTGGTGCTGTGAGGAGGTGGGGCCTCATGGAGGCAGGGCCTGTTGATTGCGCTGCTTGCATTGTGGTTGTTGCTCCACTTGTTCTGCGACCCCCTGTGGCCACTTTCTTAGCCCGGACCCAGCTAATGAGGGTCAAGCTGGAGGAAGCTCGGGCAAGTCCTTGGGCATCATTTTTTATTGGGGGCCACTTTGTAGGAGGCTGTAAGCGGCTGACCCCTGCTTTAATGTGCCCCCTGTACGGCCTACTACTTATCAAATCAGACTCAGTTCTGCTGTGTGTTCCCACACTCCAGTGTCACCTAGGAGCCAGCCTTTTATTTACTGGCTGTTGCTAAGTGACCTGATGGACTGAATTACCACCCCCCACCCCCCACTTGATGTCTACTGCTTGACAGCTGGGTTGGGCTGTGTGTTATGTGTGTGTGTGAAAGAGAGAGAGACACTGCCATGTGTCTATGTGTAAGGCAGTGCTGTCTGTGTGTGACCCTGCTGTCTGTCTGTGACTGCTGTGTGTGTTTGTGTATGTGTGTGTTTCAGTGACACTGCTGTGTCTGTGTGTGTGATGGCCTGGCTGATGACATGCTCTCCCCTGTGCCTCTCATGTCCCACCCTGCCTGCTGGTGCAGGCTATTGGCCTGGTGTCTTGTTAAATCCTGCTCTCTATTCATTGATGAGTCCTTCCGCCCAGCCTGACGTGGGCCAGAATTCTCCATGTTTTATTCACACGGGTTGCCCCTGAGTGCCTGTTCATCACCCTGATATGCCCCCCTCCCCCCAATCTCACGCTCTGCCACGGGCAGAAATATTCGAATCTTTGAATTTCGAATTTGGTGATCAGTGGTCATTGTCAACACACCACAGCACACAGTGCGCAACAACGAAATGTGTCCTCTGCATTTAACCCATATGTGACTTTCATGACATAGCAGGGGGCAGCTAATTCAGCACCCGGGGAGCAGTGCTTGGGGGCGGTACCTTGCTCAGGGTACCTCAGTGGTGCCTTGCTGGTCGGGGATTCGAACCTGCAATCTTTGAATTACAAGTGCGCTTCCTTAACCATCAAGCCACCACTGCCCTCTGTCACATACATACACACGCAC